TGTTGCTTAGATCTATATTTACTTTGCTTTTTTGTTACTTTTATGACTGTTGCTTACTTGCTCTTTCAAAATTTAAATTATTCAACTTACAATGTTTAGAGTTTGATTAATGTGTCTAGTTAAAAACCCAGATGTATTATTCAGTGAGTTAAATGACATCTTAAAGAATACTTTTTGTATTTTAAGTGTAAATACTAGTGTATCATGAATATAAACTCTTACTTGCAATTTGTAGATCTACTGTTTGAGGCAAAAAGAAACTTTTCAATATCATGATATGGTTTATGCATTTAAACTTTTCTGATTTAAAAGTTGTCTTACAGATGCTCTTTCCTTTTAGTTTGATGTCTTTCACTCTCCTCATTTCATGGTTGACAACGTAGTGACCTTGTTTGACTTGTAAAAACTTGTATGGTTTACTTTTATGCTGTCTTTTGTAACTGATACCAATGTTTAAAAAACTTCAGGTATATATACTCAAACTAGTTATCATGCGTCTGTAGCATTCTCGACTTACATAAATTGTCCAGTGATAGTTTTGAATATTTTAAATCAACATTAACAGCATCCATAGAAACAATTTTTATTTAAAAATAAATTTAAAACTTTAAAGTTTTAATATCTTAAAGTAAAATTAAAAATAAATTCAAAACCTTAAAAAGAATTACATTCAAAGAAATTTTATAGCTTTGTTACTTAACCTTTAATAACTGAAAAGTGGGGCTGGGGATTTAGCTCAGTGGTGTAAGTGCCTGCCTCGCAAACATGCAGTCATGAGTTCGATCCCGGGTACCAATTAAAAAACAAAAAACACCTGAAAAGTGAAATTTAGCAATATTTTCTAAAAATTCTGATTATTTGAATTTTCATACATTTTAAAAAATGGTAATGAGCAACAATCTTAAAATGCCTTTTGGAATATTAAACATAGATATAATTTAGGCCAGTGTTTATCCAGTGGAATTATAACACAACTTTTGAGTATTGGAGAAAATATCAATGATAAATTTTAAAAACTATCTGAAGTTGTAGATGCTAAATCCTTGAGGAGACTGTGTAAATTTGAAGCAATATATTATTTGTTTAATTTGGGAGCTCATGAATAGAAAAGTGAAATTTTTGTGGAAGTACCCAAGATTGGAGATAGAATAACATTGAGAAGAAAAAAAAAAAAAAAAAAAAACACAGTAAGCCTATGTCAGTAGGATAGGTATGACTTGATACAAAGTAAATAAAAGATATAGTGTATTATTTAAAGAAGGAAGTGTCATAAAAGAACATAAAAGATGATCCCCTGAGGTAAGAGGAGAGCCTAGAACTTCTATTTATATATTATTTTAAAAAAATTAGCAAAGCACTTTAAAACTTCCATTTAAAATTGAAAGTGACCCTGATATTTTAGATTTTTCTGTGAAGAAACCATGGATTAACTATAATGCACATTATGTTGTTAGTACAGGCAAACAGTGAGAACTAGCCAGGTTTATAGTTTTTATTTTAATATGGTTGAGGAATATTTTGATTCTCCTGCCTCAGCCTTCCTCCCAGGTGCTGGGATTACAAGTATGTGTCACCACACCAAGCTAAGGAGTCACCACACCAGGAGTCACCACACTCCTTTTTTACAGATTACAATGGCGGTGTTACTTATGGACCAGAAGGGGTGACCTCCCCTCTGAAATTATTTGGGTTATTTGAAATATAGCCACTTATCTGTTGCTGTTAGTTATAAAACCTACTGTATATTTTGTGCCTTATGATAATGAAAATAATATGATTATATTATCTTGCCATCATAATTAACAACTAACAGTTTGAAAAGTATTCAGACCCATGACTTCTACAGTTTTGATTTTACAGTCATGTGATAACCAATCAAGATGATCCCAGCTTTTCACTAAATTTGATAATTGTTTACAAGTCCTTTTTGAAAGTTATGATAAAATATAGATTGCATAAAGTACCATTTTAAGTGTATGATTTGGTCATACTACATCCAAATTGATGTGCCACCAGCACGACCATTTATCTTGTACTACTTTTATCTTTCCAGATTGAAACTGTATGCATGAAACAGTTCCTTACACTCTTCTTCAACCCCATAACCACTATTCTACTTTTTGTCTGTATGAATTTGTTTTAGGTACCTCACATAAGAGGAATCATACAGTATTAAACCTTTTGTGACTGGCTTATTTTTACTTAGCAAAATGTCCTTAAGGTTTATCTGTTGTTTGTTTTGTTTTTCTTTTTGTTTTTATAGCATGTGTCAGAGTTTCCTTCCTTTTTAAAGCTGAATAATACTCCATTGTGTGTATAAACCACATTTTGTTTACCCATTCTTCTGTTCATGGACAAGTGTGTTGCTTCTGCCTTTTGGCTGTCTGTGATTCATACTGCTGTAACAGGGATATTTGGAAACCTCTTGATATTTCAGATTGAATGCTGAAAGATAGCAGTGTGTTAAAACCAAGAGATCTCTAAAAGAAAAGGGCTTACTGAGCCAGAAAAAGGACAAGTTTCTACATTTGTACAGCAGCAATATGAGATGGCTGTTGGGAAAATGTCTGCTGACCTTATAGCTGAGAGTATTTTTTTATAAAGCACATTTAGTGGAAGAAAGTGTAAATTGTTTACATTGATTGAGCACAAACTGTAGGAGGGGCAAGATAAAATGGGCAGAAAGCTTTGGGATAGGAGGGAAGTCTATAAGGAGAAAAAAATGATTGCTTCTGGTTTGGTTAGGATTAGTAGTCTGGAAAATTTATATATTATGTGACATTTAGTATGAGTGACTCCATTTTGGTATTGTCTGATGTTTCGGAGCTTAGTGCCAAGGGGCCTCCCACAGTTTTTTTTTTTTTGGTACTAGGAATTGAACTCATGACCTTGCATTTGTGAGGCAAGTGCTGTGCTGTTGAACTGTATCCCACAGTTTTTATTTTACAGTTAAGTCAAGAGTTTAGAAATAGCAAATCGTACTTGATTCATTGTGCTCATTAAAAACACTGTTACAGTGGAGACTGGCGGCACTCACTTATAATCCAAGCACTCTGGGAGACTCAGGCAGGAAGATTACAAATTAGAGCTCAGCCTAGGCAACTTCTTGCAACCCTGTCTCAAAAAACAGGCTAGGAATATATTTATTGTGCAAATACTGAGTTCAAATATTAACTCAAGCTGAGCGTGGTTGTACATGCCTGTATTCTTATCAGATCTCTGGAGGCTGAGGCAGGAGGATCACAGATTCTGGGCTATAGCGCAGGTTACAGGCTGACCTGGACTACAGTGTAAGTCCTTAGTTTAAAAAAAAAAAAGGAAGAAAGAAAGAAAGTCGTATCTCAGAGGTTTTTACTTTTTAAGTAGTAAAGAACAAACAAAACCCCAAGCTATTAAAATTAACTTTTAAATTTCTGTTTTTGTGGATTTCAAAATTACATAATTTCATAATATTGTGTCATTTGAATTAGAAATAAATATACATATAGAAGTGTTTAGATTTTTTTGTTGAAAAGACTTATGGCTAAAAAAGTTTAGAGTCTTTCTAAAGTACTAAGAAGCACAATATAAAATTTAATGAAGAGGATACTGGGAAGAAAAATTCTGAAGTAGTGTGGAAACATGAAGAAATATTGTTTAAACTTTATTGTTCTTTTTGGAATTTTTTTGTTGAGAGCTCTTAGTTTGAAGAGAATTCCACTTTATGATGGTACATATTATGGGGACTAAGCTTACTGATTAGTACATTTTCTTGCTATATTCAAGTATAGGAAGCCAAATGGTAATCAGTGATAACTTGTAAGATAGCATGTGTTGAAATGATAATTTGTAAGAAGAGAGTAGTAATATCAAACTATGATAAACTGAGGAATTATATTTGCTATTAAGATAGATTTGGCATTTGTAGTAGACTTTTAAAATGATTTAGGATGGAAAAAGATAAAATGGAAGGGAGATTTTTTTTTTCTATTTGTAAATATCAATATGATTAAATCGTGAATGATTTAAAAAATAACTCAGAAATACAGAAAGGGATGATACTTAAATTAAATTTTTTTCTCAACATTGTTAGACTTTTGCTATATGAGAGGGAGAGACCACCAAATTATTAGTGAATTTAGAGACTGTTCTTGAAAGGAAATGATAATTTTTCTCTGGTAGCTGATAAAAGGGACTAGTTTTGAGGATTTTTTAAAAAAATGTTGAGACAGGGTTTCATTGTGTAGGTAGGCTGGCCTTGAGCTCACTATGTAGCCCAGGCTGCCCTCAGACTCATGGTGATTCTAGAATTACCGGTGTGCTTTACCGCACCTGGCCTGTTTTTGAGAATTTTAGAAGCGTTGCAGGACCATGATATGGGGAGCTCTGTTGTATGTTAACATTGTAGAACACTTTTAATGGCATCACCACAATCTTCTCAGGTGAATAATGAGATTCACTTTCAGATATTTGATAAACCTGCTCAAACTTCGGTAAATGACAGATCTCAGAATTTCAATCTAGGCATGTTTGATTTTGTTTAGCTAAACAGTTCATTAGATGCCTGAAATTGTGTCACGCATGGAGTTCTAAGCATTGGGAGTTCAGAGGTAAATAATATATTTTTCACCTCTTGCTGATAGTATAGTACTATAATTTTAGGAAGCCTTGGGAACTTAGAAAAAGATCATTCATTTCAGTTTGAGAGTTTAGAATCATTTTTTGGAGGATTCCATTCCCAAACTAAATTTCAAAAGAGGAGTAAGAGTGAATTGCAAAAAAAGACGGCCAGGGCAGTGTTGAAACCGGGAAGTCCTGTGAGTAAAGGCATCCAGGCATACAGTAGCATGCATGAAGTTAGCTTAGGGACCTATTTGTAGGTCTTGAAAGTTTAAGCAGTTGGGGACCAAAGTCTTTATTTTATACCTCGTTAGTTCTCTGTACAAATATCAGAAGCTGGTAAAAATATTTGTGGATAAAATTTCAGTCTGTTTCAACGCCACTTTACTTTCCTTTTCTAGGATCAGTTCGACAGTTTAGACAAACACACACAATGGGGAATTGACTTCTTGGAAAGATATGCCAAATTTGTCAAAGAGAGAATTGAAATTGAACAGAACTATGCGAAGCAATTGAGGTAAGTTAATATTTCAGATCATAGAAATTGCATGTTTATACAGTTTAATAGTAAATATAGAATTCTAGAAGTTAAATTCTGTATTTTTCATGAGATTTAACTTGCAAATTATAATTGATTTTAGTGATTGATTTCATCAAATCTTTGACTACTACTACAAAGAGTATTGGCTAGCTAGATGGCGAGTAACTTTCCTTGCAGAAAGATACTTTAAAAATCAGAAAATTGGGGAACAAAATGCCAAGTGAAAGATAATAGTTGGACATTACTCTGTTTTTCACTTCTATTTATTTCTCTTTTGTTTAATAGTTTCTCCAAACCATTGAACATTTCTCTAGAGTTTATAATGTTTTCAGCATTTCTAAGATTTGGAAATTATGTATGTGCTAAATTAAAATTGATAAAATTAATTGTAAGATTTTATTCAAATAGCAAAATCACCATTAGATTATATTTGACACGTAGTTTTGCTGGAACATCATAAAACTGTTGCTTGAAGTTTTAAGACTAGAAAATAAAGTTCCAGCTATAGGAATTAGGACCCTAAAATTACGAGTGACAAAGATTCTAGCCTAAACAGGTACACATGCCTATGAGGTCAAGGCGTGTTTTGATTGAGGAAGAAATCAGCTCTATCTCTTGGCTCTATTTTCCCTTGTTTCCTTTATGCTCAGTACCATCCTCTCTGCCACCTTACCTCTAGATCTCTTCCCTTTGTACCTCTACATCCTGAAGAATGATAATCTCTGTTATACCTTTGGGTAGGAGAGGCAGAGTAGAAGAGTGAGGTGATACAAGGAAGGACGTTCAAGTCTGTGTATCTTCTTTCTCCAGAATCCTAGCAAAGATCTCCATTTTTCATACTTACTTTTAAACAGATTACTGAAATGGTAATGGTGGATTAACTTCCAGTTAATGATAAAGAGTGACAACCCAAAGTAAATTTAAAATAGTAATTTTAGGGTGATATTTGAGAGTCACTTATGTGCAGTGTAGTCATTCTTTTTTTTTTTTTTTTGATACTGGGGTTGAACTCACGACCTTGAGCTTGCCAGGCAGGCGCTTATGCCACTGAGCTAACTCCCCAGCCAGTGTAGTCATTTTTGCAACCAATTTACTGGGTGTAGATAAGGAAAAGACAAATACAATGAATAGTTTACTTATAATTTTCTCTGATTTTGTATACTATTTTTAATAATATTTCCTGGAACAATGCCATTATACCAAAATCCTGATCCATTTGCCTCTGGTTTTCTTAAACAAGGTGCTTTCCATATGAAATACAACTAGGAATAGGGAATCTATGAATAATAATAATGATGATATTTCATGTCTAAAATTTACTGTCTGGGAATTTTACCCCTCCAGAATCTAAAACTATGAAGGACCTCTGAGAAAATAAATTAACAGTTACAAATTTACTTGCATGTTGTCAATAAAAAATTTCTCTCATGTAATTTTTAATTTAATCTTGATTTTAATAAATAAGGTTTTCTTATACTAGGTTTCCAATAGAAGTGAGCAGAAAGTATGCTATAGAGAGTCCAGTGAGGGCAGATAATGTAGAGACAATAAGGAAAAAGGTTAATAAATTTAAAAATATGAAATTTATTGTAGAAGTGAATAGTGCTCACTTCTGTGGATCTATAGCTATAAACCATTGTATTACAGCAGATTAAAAAAATAAATGTTGGTAGTAAGCCTGGATCCTCAAGAAAAAGAATAGGAAGTCTGGACATAAATGTCTCTCAGAAACATGTATATGCATTTAATCCTGCATTTTCTTTCTTTCTTTCTTTTTTTTTTTTTTTTTTTTTTTTGTCTTTTTCTTTTTATTGGTACTGGGGATCGAACTCACGACTGCCTGCTTGCAAGGCAGGTGCTTATGCCACTGAGCTAAACCTCCAGCCCCTAATCCTGCATTTTCATTACTGACTTCTTCTGATGAGAAACATGCACAAAGAGGTGTGCACCACAGTTAATTGAAGAGGGAGAAATTCGTAAAAGTACCTGTTAAAAGAATGATGAAAAATGCTGTGTAGGTAGTTTAAAAAAAAAAAAGTACCTCATATTTAAATTTAAACAGCTATTCAGTCCACCAGTATAAAAAGAACGTTACAGAGCTGATTGTATAGTAAGATTATGTATCCAATTCTGTATTAATTTGTATGCATTCTGAGACACTGTAGAAGGGTACAACCAAATAATACTTAATCTTGGCAGAATGGGAGAGGAAAGATAATGGAAGGAATTTTTACTTCAAGCCCTTTTGGACTGTTGAAGTATTTTTAATGATTCTGCATGCTTTTGTAAATTTAAAATACGTGGTCTTAAGCAGAAAAGATGGCAAATTCTAAATTAATTTATATGCTAGAGCTTTAGCAATCGGGAATATGTATCTGGGATAACTCTGGCCTTATGTTTCTTGCTGGCAGAAGGTTTTGCTAGAGTAATAGGTCTCATTGATTCAGATGGCAGACTGGTTTTTCTCTCTCTGTTCTGAGATTGGACCTCACTTCATTGAAGTTAGGGTAATTAGAACTCATGATTTTATGATATGAAAAATACAATTTTATAGTAAGAAAGCAGGTTCTTTTTTTTTTTTTTTTTGGTCTTTTAAGGAATGTTGCATATGTAAGGAATTTGGCATCTTTCCATCCTGACAACCGGCTTTCAGTGCAGTGATTATCAACCAAGTTAGGTCAGGATTATTGGACAATGTTGTGGTGTTTAAGTGAGGAAGAGTTGAGAGAAGCATGTTTGTTTTAAACCACCTAGTCCCTCTCTTCCCTCTGCACTGAGATTTCCTGCATTTGGAAGAAGTCCCGGTGAATGATTGGATTATCAGCTGCTGTTTATAGTGTGTTTTGTTTGAAAGGAAGAGGTTTACCTTTTTTATTTCCTTTTCTTTAATGGGAAAAAATCCTTTAATTCTTATTTTTCCTACTGCAGAATTTCATTTCACACCCAGGAGGAAAAATGTGCTGCATTAGTGAGGTACTTCCCTCTATATAATAATTATGTTTAGGATGTTAATTAAATATTTACGTTTTAAATATAGTCAAGTTAAAAATTTTCAATAAATTCTTGACATTTCAGATTGTTTTGTTCTTTCGTCTCATTTAGATTGTTTATTCTTTAGTTCTTGTGTTTTAATGGATTTGGTTTAATTTTAGTTAGACTTTGGTAGAGATTGAGTTTCGGAATCAATATAAGATGGGAATAATTAGAAAACAACATATCTGATTGTGTTTGGAGGCGTAGTTTATAGGCAGTTGATGGTGTTGATTTTTTTTTTTTTTTTTTGTCTTTTTCCTTTTTTATTGGTATCGGGGATCGAACTCACGACTGCCTGCTTGCAAGGCAGGTACTTATGCCACTGAGCTAAACCTCCAGCCCCGATGGTGTTGATTTTGATTGATGCTGAATGATGACTTGGGAATGATAGTGCAAACCTAACTACATTCCAAATGAAGATAGCCATAATTTCAGTGCCTTGCTGAAAAGTTCATAGCTTCTTTGCTGGGTCACATGTAGCATTGATGTTAGCATCTACCTCTGTTTTAATTCATATGCAACAGGAGGTATTGGTAACCACACACAGACTTCTTCCTGTTCAGGTAGATACCTAAGATGGTCATGAAGACCACAGTGGCAGCAGAGTGTAAGGACTTAAGATTAGTGATGACTTCTCTAAACTCTGAGCTGGAGAGCAGATTGCTGGGCAGAGATTCTTTAGAATGACCTCATAATATTTGACCCATGGGCTCAACAACTCAATAATAGTCCTGCTCCTGAATTAACCCAGTGTGCCTCTTAGATCTTGCCAGAGAAAAGAGACTTAGAGGTGACATTTAAAAGTAGGTAAGGAAATGAATCTGAATGAATCTATGCTTTTCCCTAGCAGTAGTGCATTTCTTCTGAAATTGAGTTCTCTGTATAGGAGTAAGTTAATGTTTGGAAAGGAGTGGAGAAGGGGAAACCTGGGCTCCCCTCATAAGGAATATGTTTGATGAGTAATGGCAAAGGAGCAGTTTACCCTGGAGGTACTTAAACACAGCAGAGAGTTGACCCCCTTCCCGGTGGATAACAAGGGATTGCCCAGCATCTTCATACTGAATAACATTCTCAGCCTGCCCTGCCCTGCCCTTTCCTTTCCCCCTCCCCGCTTTCCCCTGTCTCCTCTCCCCCTCCCCCTCTCTCCTCTCCCCTGTCTTTTCTTTCTTTTTCTTTTCTGTTTTTTGTGGTGGCAGAGTCTCACTGTGTTGCCCAGACTGATCTTGAACTTTCCTCTTGCTTCAGCTTCTCAGAGTGCTGGATTTTCAGGGGGCATTTCATTATGTCCATCTTAAACCTTTTAATTGGAGACTTTTCCTAACTTGAAGAGTTGCCATGCAGTAGAAATAGAGGTTCTTTTCTTGGTCACATGTGTATGTAGATTCTGTGACCATCCTGGAGGGTTATGGGGACATACAGAGGAGCATCTGTTTAGCGGCCCTCTTCTCCTGCCCTTTTCCTACAGGATGATGTTCCTTGAGGTTTTTTAGCTGTTGAATCTCTCTCTTTCAACTGCCATTGCTGATTCCTCCAAAAAGGCTCAAGTTTTTATTCTAAAATTTTTCTCAACTGTGACCTACTTTTAGTTACTTTCCTAACACCTAAAAATACCTAGAACAGATAACCTAAAACTCTTATTTATGTGTCTGTTGTCCACGTATTTCCTCATCTTCTATAATACAGTTTTTGCTAAAGTTTCACCTAAGTACTACCCACCAGATTTAGTCGGGAGTCTCCATAGTTTTTGATATGTTATTGCTAATTTCCATATTAAGTCTTCCTTTAGGGGCCGGTGATTGAACTCAGTGGCATAAGTGTCAGCCTGGCAAGAGCAAGGTCGTGAGTTCAATTCCTGGCACCAAAAAAAGAAGTCTTCCTTTAGATTTTAAAGTATACTGATTTCTCAGTGCCTATGCTTCTTCCTTAAATACTGACTTCCTTAT